GCCTCTTTGCTTGGCCAAAATACCACGGCTTGCAGTATTTTCGCTAGGGTTACTACTGCTGATTTAAATACATCTGCTGCTGTGATGCAGTGAATGCCAAAAAGCACCCCAACTAATGAAAATGGAAGATTGTGGTGAAGCTTCAACATAGTAATAAGAACTGCATCTTCATTAGATAAGCAAAAGATTTTTGCTTGCATAATCATGTGGCTGTCAGTGTACAGATCGCAAATATTATAAAATAGCTGGTAGCATAGAAGATCAGTGATTACATTAAAGTCTTTTTGCGTTTTTAAATGCGCTATGCTGAGTGGTTTTTGTCTCTCAGGGTCAAGGGTGTTAACTTGATCGCCCCTTTCTCTAGTGAAGGCAAGTGCTGCAGCTGGAACATCTGAAGCAAAAGATAGTTAAAACTTTGCTATGTGAAAAATGGAACATGAGCCAGGCAATAAGACCATCAAACTGACCTTAAAAGCCCTCTTCACTGTTGGCATTTTGGTGGTCACAAGAGGCAGACGTGCCAACGTGCTGCTGGATGTCGTGTTCAGGCGATTGTGCCAGGGCCCCTTGGGCATCTTCAAGGAGCTTAGGGGTCGGATGTAGCGTCACCGATGCCACATGCACTGCAACAGAAAGAAAAATTTGCCCAACTTTTTTGCCAAACTTGTACCAAGCTGCATTACAAATGCCGCCTGATAGCTAACCTTCTAGGATGTTTTCCTTGCTCACATCTTGTATTCTTTGCTCATATCTTCGTGGTCAGTGAAGGCAGGTGTGCTCTTACCCTGTGGTACCTAGTCTGTCGAAGATATCCTGGCCATGGGTTACATTGCATGAAAAGCTAGCTGGCTTTTTGGAGCAATATGAACTACTTTCACGGCCCTCAATGCGAGGGAGCAAGGTAGCTTTGTAGATGTGTAGACTTCGAAGCCGTGACAAGCCCACAGTTAAAAGCATCACAAAGTAGACACGGGTGTGTATTGTTGTCTGTGTCTACTTCACATTGTTTTTAAGTATGAATACAGACCAACTGGCTCGCATTCTCTCTTTTTTAAGCATCGTGACAATGATTGTACACAAGTGTGGCTCTTCCACTCCACTGCAGCTTTCAATTGACCTGTTACAATCACACATTAATTTCCTGGATTTGTGAGACAAGCCACCCATTTTTCAAGATGAGACAGCACTCGAGAAAATGTGCTTTGATCTATGGTAAGTTAATTCTGCTCCTGAGTTAACATGTACTTGACTGGGGCTCGAATAACGTAAACACAAACAGTCATGACTGTGACAGCATGCACCTCGATGGCTTATGAATGTGCAAACGTTGCTTGTCTAAACAAACTGCTTAAAAGTGTCCTGATATTCTATTGTAAGCATTCTTACCAAAGAACATACCAAGCGATACTTACAAACCAAAAGCTGATTTAGGCATCAAACTTCACACTTTTTCACATTTCAACTTGACTACTAATAGAAAATCTTTATTTCAGTTTCGTATTTGAAACTGTTGAGTTAACAAATGAAGAAAATATATTTCTCTAAATCTGCCATTCTTACTTATTGTTGGCCGCGCATCAGTAAACAGGCCGAAACACCGAAACAGAACCACACAGATAATAAGTAGTCATTTGGAGCATCGAGGTGGTGTACACGTATAGCCTTTCAGCATAAGTAAATTGCTTGACAAGCGTGACACAACGTATCTCACTAATTAAAAATTAAAACTTTACTAACCACTCTGATGTTTCTGGATTCGGCGACGCTCAATGCGCGTACGATCCAAAGGGCGTACCGGTAAATTCTTCAACGATACGGCTCCAGGCTGAAGGCAACGCTTTTTCCAGCCTGACGTGGAAGAAATATGTTATGTTAGCGGTTTAAGACCAACATACAGCGCACTCACAGTGATTGAAACACGATACTTCTTGCGCCGCGGGCAAGCGCTATCCAAGCTAGCATCCAAGCTAGCATTTTTGCATCGCAAAAAAAGTGCGAGTGCGATACATATTGACTGTATTCCACCAATCGTTAATAACAGCTACTACTCACCAGCGGCGTAAAAGACACTGTCTGCCATCCAGTCCTAACAATGCGCATCAGTCGTTGAACACTGTACCCAAACGATCGTATCACATCGTCTACTACCCACCGAACATTCGCGCTCTGACTCCGTACACAAAGTCATCTTCGCTGAAATGCTTGCTGCACGCACATGCGTAGGAGCTCGGTTTTTTACCCATTCAAAGATTTACAAGTCATGCATTCCGCAGTTTTTTTTTTTTTTGGTGGGGGGGGGGGGTGAAGTGGAAGCTCACGCCTGGCTCCTGCGCGTACGTACGTTGATCACTGTGGAACGGAGCAGTAAATCACCATGCCACCCATGAGTTAGACTGCAATTTCCCTTAATGAGTACTGTTTGAATAGTTTAGAGGTCGGTTCACGTGAAGAACAAAAAAATGCTGTTCAAAGAGGGCAATTCAGAAATCGCAGCGCGTTCAACCATCAGCTTCCCTTGAGCATCGCATAGCAAGGTCACGTGATCTAACCCTGCACGTCACATCGATTGCAGCGCTCACAACTCCTGTGGTGGGCCTCGCACTCAATGTTGCATCCTTAACGATGAAGCTCAGCAGACGTACAAGGCATCGTAAAAGAAACAATAGAACTCCGCAGAAACGAGAGATGAGAGGTGTTCTACAGCACAAGCGCCAACTCGTAATTCGTATATTTACTATACTGCGTTTCATACATCAGGTGCAGCGCTGTAGAAGCTATGCAAAAATTTCGGCCAGCAAAACGTATAACTCCACGTGTTTCGTGATCGCTTGTACGACATCCGATTACTGCCGGTGCACCTTAACGTTTTTTTTGTGATACCATTTGGCGCCACTGCGAACAAAAGAAAACGGGTAAGCACAAAAGAACGTGAGTCCCCGAAGACCCTGTGGTGTCCTATCCTGCACTGACACTGAACGTCCAGGTGGCCTCCATCGTGACGTACCCACAATAGAGAGCCTGTGTGTGACGTCACGGGTAATCTAAGATATACAGCCACATAATAACAGACGTTCTACGGCATTTTTGTTTGTAAAGCACATAATATCTTCAATTGCTTCTCGCTCCAATAACGAAAAAAATTGGACTTTTGGTGGTAAGAACATCGAACTATACTTCTTGTTGCGAACGTATCGACTGCAAGAAGTCTCGCTAGTTTCCCCAGCGTTGCACCTGATGTATGAAACGGAGTATACACGAAGGGATTATAAGTACATTGCACAGGTCGTGAATGGCTAAGCAATTAACATCTATGGCACGCGTGCTGTTGTAGCTCGCTGCCACATGGAAACAAGAATTGCTGACGTGGAGCGGCACTATTGTTCCTCTGATAATGGTGGCCAGTGGTTGCGGTGCTCGGCTGCGGACCCGAAAGACGCGGGTGCGATCCCTGCCGTATTGAGATGGAGGCAGAATGCTACATGTAAGGACCCATATGAAAGCAGGAGGTCTTTGGGGGGGATCGTTCCTTTGTTAGACAAAACTTCAACGAAAACTGGAGGATAACGATGCCATGGAGGGTGTAAGGGGCATCAATTGCAATGACCCTTGTTTTTCGTGAAGCCATTTCTCGCTGAAAAACCCCAGGTATTTGGCACCCTCCCTTACGACGTCTCTCGTATAGTCGTGGTGGCCTTGAGACGACACACCTCATAACCCCTCCTTGATATATTCCTCTATGCTGGTCTTGTCGAGGTTCGTAAGTGTGAAGGACTACACTTTAGAGCAACGCTTTGCTATGGCATTATACTATTTACGATTTCCAAAGCGATGCAAAATGAGCGCGCAATACTTAATATATCTCAATGTTCTCGGGGGTGCATAAACACATTGTCCTGTTGGGCCGATTGCTCTGGAAAGACTAATAGTGGACCATTCATAAATCACACCTAATTAAACTCTTGGCAGCATTTTCGTTGCCCTATACTGATGTATCCTGCGCCCATCAGTGAACGAGCTCAAATCATTATCAGTGGCTGAGCTATGAGTTGTAGTCTGGAGCACAGGAGAGCTTGGTCGGCTCTTGGCTGTATCTGGCTTGACTAGAACACGTTCATTCACATGCCTATGGACGAAGAGTTCAATTGATCACATTGCGAAGAATGAGTATTTTGATTAATTATCAGTCAAATTTGGTAAATAATCACTTGGCAACAAAGTAACAATTAGGTTATCTATCTATATTAGTATTATTATGTTATTTACCTTATATGGCCTAATTGTGAGTTCGGAGCTTAGTCCCAGATTTCATCCCACGTCAAAATATTCTTAATTATAAAACAACTAGCTAAATTAGGCAGTCAGTCTAATTGCCTAATGAACGTGTGCTAGGCTTGGTTTTGATGAGAAGTCAACTTAGACTTGATTATCTAATTATTTTAATTAGCGATATCGCGACTCAGCCTTCATTAGCTTAGCTCATCTTGTCTTGCCGAGCTCGACATGATTCGGCATAGTGGAAACCAAGTCATCTTCATTAGGCTTAATCAGGTTTTGGTTATTTCATTTATTTACAGTGGGCTGATTTGTATTACCATGTTCAACTAGGCTTAATTAAGCTTGAATATTACTAGCTTAACTATGGAAAGCTATGCTTAACTTGGCTTGACGTGGTCACACCGGCATGATGTTGACAAATTGCGAACAAACGGCGGGCATAACAGCTCTCCTGTAATACCGCCATGGCCTCATACCTACATAGCCATAAATTCCCTACATTGCTAATCCAAGTTTGTGTCACCCCCCGCCCCCGCCTAAGCTCGCAACTTAAAGCTTGCAGTTCTAGGGCCGCAGTACTGCAAGCTACACCACACGAGCGTGATGAAATGGGAGGCACGCATTCGCTTGAAGGGTGTCGTATGCTTGCGCTCTTTATTCACCCCCGAGGACAATATAGCCGAGATAGTGCAGCTGCGCTCAGCTTGCTTTCACAGGCTTTCCTGCTTTGTGAACTTCTACGTGGCTGAAAAGAAAGACGCCTCAGTTGCAGAGCATCCCACATGCAAGACAGTATGGTAGGCATAGTGAAGACCTGGACTAAGAGCGGGCTAGTGCTAGCCGTGTTACTGTCGATCGCTACTGACAGCGCACTAGCAGCCGCACCACCGACGGATGAGAGTGAGTCCAGCCCACGGGTTTTGGCATTAACTCTAATTACATGCCCCAACAATAACGCAGTTCTGAAAGAATAATGACGCTGCTCTAAAAGAATCCTTCTTCATTAAGGCAGTCGCTGTTTGTTTTTCGTCTTTTAAATTATTCTACTTTCACTGTTATCAAACATTCACTGCGAAAAAAAAACTGTCAAAAGGACAGTGAATATCCCGACAGCTCTACTTTCAAGCTTATGGCCGTCAAAATAACGACAGGTCGTCATTTTCAAATGACGGCACAACTTCATCATTTTTATTGTTTCCGGTCATTTTCATAAAAATAGAAGCAAACCGTCCAATTGATGACATTTACATCAAAATAACTAAAGGTCGTCATTTGCAAATGATAGTATCCTTTCATCATATTGAGTTTTTTTTTTTCGTGAACTCCTTACACAGCTGAATTGTGCGATTGACAACCTTTGACCATCAAAATGACAGAACGTTGCCAATTTTAGTGCCATTTAACATCTCTTTGTCAATTAAAACTATCATACCACCAATGTAGCATTTTCTTTGCAAGGTGATAGCACGCTCTCAATGCACTATCCGTAATTGCACACGAAAACAAGTGTATTCTGTGCCATTATGAAGTGTAGCTTGGTGTATGTCTCCATGCAACTGTCGTTCGACATGGGTAGCACATCATTACATCAAGTATGCAACGACAGCTTTTGTGAATACTTGCACATTTGTTATTCAAAGTATTTTGAGAAGGCTGAGCACTCTTCTAGCCACTTTGCTGACTCTGCCTTTACCACAGCTTTTAGTGGGGTTGATCTGCCCCTTGTATCTGGGAACAAAAATATAATGACAAAATAAAATCATGCTTCATAAACTGTGCCAATCACATACTTGGGCTTCACAAGTGAAAGGCCAGAATTGTGTCAACTGCACTGTCTTTTTGTGACAGAAACTCTATTATAAAATTAAATGACACCAAACAGAAATCTTGGGCAGCAAATGTAATGGTTTTTGTCATATGCTGAAAATATGGGAACATATAAAACAGGAACCAGTAATATATTACAGTGTTGTGAGAAAGAGGTGTGCTTTTTATGAAAACATGCTAAACATGCAGCATATTGCAACTTTTCACCTATGCAAAATATAAAGATAAAACTAACATGAGTAACCTATCAAAGTATTTAAAGAGTAGCCCTTTGGCATTAAGGAAAATGCTGTTTCATTATAATTGATCGAACCAGCAATACTATAGAAATTACTTACTGTGACACAGTTTTACTTGGGTGCCCAAAGTTTGAAGTGCCCCACCGTGGTGGTCTAGTGGCTAAGGTACTCGGCTGCTGACCCGCAGGTCGCGGGATCAAATGCTGGCTGCGGCGGCTGCATTTCCGACGGAGGCGGAAATGTTGTAGGCCTGTGTGCTCAGATTTTGGTGCACGTTAAAGAACCCCAGTTGGTCGAAATTTCCAGAACCCTCCACTACGGCGTCTCTCATAATCATATGGTGGTTTTGGGACAATAAACCCCACATATCAATCAATCAAAATTTGAAGTGTCATCTAGGCAACACAAAATTATTTTGCAAAATATAATGGGCCAATAACTACTTTTAACATTCACATATACCTGTACAGTTTTTTAAGCATGATCGGAGATGGTCGAAAATTGACCGGGTATGCTTAATATGAAATGACCCAATACATTTGACATGGCCACCGAAATTATTCGGACGCTTAGCTTAGAATGACCAAGGTGTTACCCTTAGATAAATACATAACACCTGTTAGTGGAAATAGCTCTACAAACAGATATTGCACGAGAAATAAAAAGAAGACAACGTTGAGCAGCAACAAACTATCAAACTACAAACTATCGTATGCTTTTTGAAAAAGACATCTTCATTAAGAAAGGAAATAGGAATGCCGAACTGTAAGATGATGGATGGTAGCGCAGACAACGAACACGGACAAGAGAAGGCACATAGACACAACACAGCGCTGTGTTGTGTCTATGTGCCTTCTCTTGTCCGTGTTCGTTGTCTGCGCTACCATCCATCATCATGCAACCATACCAACAAGCCCAAATCGCCACCCTCATTGCCGAACTGTAATGCAAGTTTGCTGGCATAGGCACAATGTTATGAGACAAGTCGCTCGTGCGTTAAATGGCACAATTTAAAGGTGAGCGTATTCGACAGAAATCTGTCTGGCTGAGCCTTTAGGCCGAGAGTTGCTGTTGAACCTAATTATTCATATAAATGAAAAAAACACTGAACCTTTGCATTTTGAGGTAGCCTCATTCATTCAAGTGCGTACTACTTGCGATACATTAGTGGAGCAGGTCAGGACTGCCTAATATCCCTATGACCATCTGCATATAATACAGTTTGCGGATCAAGTCAAGCCATAGAAACACAATATTTTAGTTGGTAAATTCATGATCATGCATTGTCGCTAGAGAAGGCCTTTCGACAAGCGTAGTTGTCAAAACGTTTGCTCCAGTGACACTCCAGGATCTCGAATTTTCCATCTCTATTTTTTGAAGAACTTTTGCCTTGAATAACAACAAGTTATCTGCAGAAGCCATGTCTTGAGCAAAAAAACGTCTACATAACATACACACCTATGACAGCAAAATGAGGTATTGCTGGCACCCTCTCCAGACTCTCTTCGCCTGCATGTTGGGGATTCACAAGCGAAAAATCAGTTAGACTCGGGAGACAAAATGCAATAATCAGACATACCTATCTAATCACACATCATAACCAAACTTATAAGGGCCGCCTTACATTGTTTAACACGAGCAGCTGATAATGCAGTTCATATTACAAGCCTCCACACTGTTTAAAGGTAGAGAATACACGACCAAAAAAAAGATAAAAAAAGACAATGTTTCGACTTTCATGAAAGCTTTTTTCACAATGAGGCCAAGCAACTGTGGCTTGAGTGCATGGGGAGAGTTGGCCTGGACAACAATATCGACGTATTAGTTTCGAAGACATTATTGAGGATCTGGACCGTTTTTACAAATGGAATGCACTTGTAACCAGAAATGTTAAAACAAGTAGACAAAAGAAAAAATTGTGAGATATTGAGTACGTACCTCGCTTGGCAGTGTGAAAGTTTCAGTGGCATCTATGACCAAATATGCTTGAAGTTGACCTGTCTACGACCAAAAGGTGTCTGTTGACCCTTCAGACTTGGCCTATGAATCAGAAACGATGGAAGCTATTATAAGTCAGTCAATCATGTCTATTAGACAGTTGTATGCAGTAACTTGCATACAAACGAGCAAGCACTTGATGCACCTCCTGACCCTACTGTGTTTTAAACGCTTGCACATGTCGATAACGCTGCATTTAACTCCATATTGTCAATTTTTACAAAGTGATATCTGCTTGTTCTATTGGCAGCCTCTTTTTTTAAATAATTCAAAGTTAGCACACGCGCGGGATTGCTCTTGGTACAACGGCGGCCCTTGCGGGTGGTTTGCGGCTCGCGAATGTTCGGACTCGTACTGATAAGAGAAATCACTGCGTATAGAGGTACTTAATTAAAGGGAAAAAAAGAAATGAGAACGGTGTCATTACTGCATCTCTCAGTGGAGGGCACCTCCACAGCGCCGTGCAGGTGATGGGGGAATGTGAATTAAAGGGGCAGAAGATTAAAGGTAAGAAAGGCTAGTAATCAAATTCCCTCCGCCTCACATAGCGCGCACCCGAACCACCACGAGGACCCATAGCCGTCTTGAAAAGCCGTCGGGAAGGCCGGGGGAATATATCCACCGAAAAAGAGAATGATGAGACCAAGAAGAGCATGAAATTACGGGAGTGCGCGAAACACTCGCATGAGCACGTGGCCTAAGCACGGGGAAGAAAAAAGAAAGAAAACATTTGAGTTCAACTAGAAAAAAAACTGTTCAGTTGAACTCACAGATCAGAGTCCTGTTCGCCTCAATGATGTAATCCAGCTGCGGAGTGGTCACAACACTCACCTGGGCACGTAGCCCAAGCCAGAAATAAAAACAATTCAGTTCAACTGAAAGAAGGGAAAAAAGAGCGTTCAGTTGAATACACAGATGACAGTCCCAATAGACTCGATGATGCAATCCAGTCGCCTTAATTCACCGGGACGATGGCCTTATGAGCAGCGAGAGCAACACCACACAGTCCACGAACCGGAGAATCCGGCTACACGAATACAATCACAGCGCGGATTGCCGCCACAAGTGCATTAATCACCGCATCCTTCGGGTCAACCACAGGGGCTACGTTATCCAGAGGAGGGGGTGATGGGGTCCTGGTGCTCGTAGGGGCAAGAGACGCACTTGCAGGAGGTTGAGGAGCCGAGTCAGTGTTCTGTGGAGCAGACGCAACACCGATCGTTCAGCACCGGCGACAGCGTCCCGAAAAGAGCAGCCCTGGACCATTGCCGTGCTGCCTCGCTTGTCGATGTTGTTGACAGTGGTCCTGGCTTTCTCCAGCGCTTGGTGGTGCGTCATGGTCCATCCGGAGAGGAAATGACATTGGCGGTCTTGCGCTGAATTTGCGAGGATGATGATGATGATGAAAAACATTTATTATAAAAGAGAGAGGTACGGGGCCAAAGCATGACCCCGCTACATGGTCGGCGTCCTTAGTCCGGGACACCGCATGACGAGGCCCCTAATCGCGCCCGTCTCGCCAGAGCCTGTTGAGACTCTAGTGATGAGCAGTTGAGGAGGGCAGTCTCCCATGCCTCTCGGGAAGGGGTAGGGGAAGGGGGTAGGTGGGGATTTTTCGGACATGCCCATACCATGTGGAAGATATCACACGTCTCCCCACAGTGTGGGCACCGCCCATCTGTGTTCGCATCGAAATGTTTTAGGATTGCAGGACAGAGTAGAGTACCTGCCTGCAGGCGCCTTAGAGTTCGCTCTTCCGCCTTACTCAGCCCCTTTGCAGGAGCCGGGTAAAGGCGGTGAGTGTTGCGATAATAGGTCAGAATTCCTTTGAACCGC